GTATCAGAGCAGTTGACCACCTAGTGCTTGGAAAGGCACTTGGAAATAGTGTTGGAAACTTCCATATGGTCAAGATGCAACATTCTGTATCCACCATAGTTGTGAAAGCAGCAGAGGGGCATTTCATAGTAGATCCTGAAAAGCACTATCATCTTGTGGGATGAGATTGTTATAATCAACATTACTGAGTTACCTAGCAGTTGCTTCAGTCTCTCATACATGCAGAGGGGTAGAGAATGTCTGTTAGTTCACACAACTCAGTCTCAGCAGAAGAACTGCATTTGAACAACCCACTAGTGTAATCTAACTGCAAAGTACAGCTTTGCATTTGTGTGGCAGGGTATTCTCCAGGCCAAGTGCTTTCAGAGGGAGTAAAAAACCTTGTGGTTGTGTTATGGAATCTCCTATTAGGTAGATATTCAACTCTGTCAGTTCTGGGTTATGTCTTTACTTGTGAGACTGTGATACTGTAAGCTGTTCAGTACTGTTTTTTACCATAACAATTCACCTTTGTGTAGTCATCTTATTTATGGAATAGCAGACCATTTAGACTCCTATTTTTTGGCTGACTCATCTCAGTGACAATAATTTCCCTAGGCTAATTTTGTTCTGTTCTGTAATGATATTTAAAGGATTAACAGATTTCTTGGTGCAAAACATATTCACTGGAAGAGACAGGTAGTAACAATATTTCTCAGTAGTTACTTCGTTCCTGAAAAAATAATCAGTGAACCAGAATAGAATGTAGTTGATAGAGTTGACTCAGAATGTTAGATTTTTTTGGAGTATTTACATGTCTTTATTTGAACCGCCTATTTTTCTCTCTTCAAACCAGGCCTTTTTCGTTTTTTCTTAGGGTTTTTCCTCTGCCTGTCTGCGAGTTGCAAAATTCCTTGCTATTCCGCAATCCAAAATCTTGTTACTGTGGCTTGATAAATCATCTTGACATGTATTTGAGTAGCTGACACATCTTCTCTGAAGTTTGACTGGCTTTTCAAGTTAACCTTTAAATATACCGAAGCTTTTCCACAGTTTTTCAGACTGCAGCTTCACAAATGAATACAGCACATCTTGTACTACAGGAGAGATAAGATGTTTTCAGCTGATCATGTTCTGCTTTTGCATTTCTCTTAGTGTTTGTAATCACTTTATAGGTTTCAAAAACAGAATAGTGACAGGACAAGAAATGTCAACCTTGTTTGCACCTAGTTCTTCCCTCAATATTTATGGCAGCTGGATCAATGTGTGTCCTTGCAGATACTTGTATTTTTTATATCATTCTGAATAACCAAATCTCATCCTACTTCCTTAAGTTGAGCAAAAGTTTCACTGAAATCAGTGGGAGTTTTGTTTTGCTTCACTAACTTAGTACTTGAGAAAGAAAGTTACACATCAGAAAATGAGAGGTTAGTTGAATTGTCTTTGGGCTTGCTGCACAGGCTAGCAATGTGTGGCACTTTTTTTTTGTATTTGGTCTGTGTCTGCTAGCAGCCATTGCAGCTTTTCCAGCATGCCAAAATGTGTCACCATTCACCCACAAGAAGAGAAAAATGAACAAGAAAAAAGCCCTGATAATATGGGAGGCAAAAATTGAACTTGTGATTTTCCCCCTGAAACTCAAGCTGTGGATCACTAGTGTGATGGAATGCTTAAGACCTGCAGAAGGCTATGCAAAATGGCTGGGATGTTGAGGAATCTACTTTGGTTTTAAGGAGCTGGTCTTCTGAAGTGCTGAGCATTCACATCTGGAATTTCCACTGGGTTTCAGGTGTACCAAGTTAACAATTTTTTGAAAATATTAATTATAGAATGCAAAGCACGTGTCATTGTCCCTGAAAACACATTTAGTGGCATCGAAGGCTGAGGATAAAAATAATACAGCTTTACATGGAAGCTCAAATCATATCTGTAATTAAGAACTGTAACATTACCCCAATGGAGGTGCTTTCAGATGGGAAACCACACGCGATATTTTGAAGTAATGCTGTGTAGGTTAATTATTGGAAGATATTTATGCAGCTTTTAAAATGGTACATTTATACTCTGTGGCAACTAAAAGACCACCACAGAAGCCTGCTGCTCCCCTCAGCTACATCTGACCAGGAATGAGTCCAGGACTGGACTTTGCTGCTGTAGGCAGGAAGAAACATAAATATAATAAGAGAAAGAAAAGCTGAATTCACTTTTCTTCAATTAAGGTTTCACAAGAAAAGTCTATTTTTAATCTTAGCAAATACCCTAGTGTCTCATCTTCCCATAGGTATTTATACATTTTTATTTTAATAACTCCACTTAAGGCCAATGTGAGCTAACTGTATAAATCTCTAGAGAACTCATGAAAAAAGCAATCCCATTCATTTAAATATAAAAATAAACCGTTTGGCATGTTTATGCAGAAAGGAGTCTCATAAATTATTATTACTTTTTTTTTGGTCTGTCATCAAGTACTCTCCTAGCTAGATTTAAGGCACGCATGGCTTCTAGCTTGAAGTTTTTGTGCTTTGAAGCGTTGGTGAATAAAGATTCATTTAAACTAGAACAAAAAAAGCTGCTAATTTGTTGGTTGTCTTCTATTACAAATAGATGATCTAAAAAAGCTGAAAGAATTTGTGTGTTTGTTGCAGTCCAGCCTGCAATTTGTTACGATGGAAGTAACCCCCATAGAATTTTTAAGCAGTATTTTCCTTCAAGCAAAATCTCCAGGTCACAGCTCTTTCAATCACATGCACAAGTGGCAAGGAGACAAAGCTAGTCTGGGTGGCTTTCTCTTTAAGCAGCTAAGTTTGCATTCCTTTTAATGTAGTTAAAACATTTGACAGCAGAGAGTGCGGTTTAGTGATGTGAGGTGATTTCCAAATGAGTGTTAGCTTTTAACTGACCTACTTTTGACTACTGGTGTATTCTTGTCCATTACTTTTTGTCATTGAATAATGCTGATATATTAAGCTGTGTGCTTCAAGGGCATTGTAAAATTGCATGTAGGGGCAGGACTGAGCTGCGAAAGTGCGAATTACTCTATCAGATCATACCCAATTAAAAAGTGACGAGCACAGTAGGAGATGTTGAAAGCAAGGTTTATCTTTCATGTACTGTAAGAAGTCACTATATCGGTTAGAAACAAAGTGAGTGTGAAACAGATTCTCCACCTCATCTCATTCCTCTCCAAAATTAATAATATTTGCCGACTTTATTATGGGAACGAATGAGACCCTGAGTTGTAACAGCTTGTGTTCAAGGATATTGTGACAATGGCAAGAGAATGGGAAGTACAGCAGCAATGTACCTCCAAGCTATCTGTTATCAAAGTGTATGCTGAACCACAGGTCAACACATTGCCAATTGTCAGAGAGTTTTGAAAAGCTGCTTGTATTTTATATTAAACTGTACCATATCATTAAAAGAAGACTTGCAGGCTTTCTGCACTTCCACAGGAAGCACAGGAATAAAAGAACGATAATGAAAGCAGGAACTTTTAGTGAGCTCTGTACTTATTATAAAACCGCTACAAGATTAGGAAACTTGTATAGTTTCCAGTGCTGTTGCGAAAATCCTTGAATAACCTTTTGCTTAACATTCATCAGCACTTTTCTAATGGTAGGATGGACCTGTGAATGTAGCATTTAATGCAGTTGTCCATACACAACATAATCTTCCATAATCCTGCTGGCTTAAGGTGTTGTACTGCCAAACCTATTCTGACAGTGGTACCATGGATAAAATTGTGATGCTTTCATAGAGAATTAGTATATGTATATATATATATATGTGTGTGTGTATGTGTGTGTATATATATAATCTGACAGCCTTTCTCAACTGCATCAACATTGCAAAATATGCCCCATGCTTGCCATCAGAATGCAGGTTGCTTCAGTGATGCATGACTTCTGTCTGACCAGATGAACACCTTCTGGAGACAATCTATGTCATGTATACCCTGATGTTTGCTGCTAATGATATTGTCTGAGCAGTTTTAATGAGCTTCTGTGTGTGCACACATGCAACTTCGGAACAGCTGATCTGGTTAACTTTGTGTTTTCATATTAGTCTTTAGTGTGTGAATCTTTATGTTGTGAGGAGAAAATAATAGGGGGGAAAGTGAGAAATATGTGGGGCGCTGGAGGCACTGAATTGTAAAGAAGAGGGGGAAGAGGAGGTGAATATTTAAATTCATAGTGCCTAATCCAAGCAGCAAGTTTCACCCTTAGAAACAGTGATGCTCTATAGAAAGTATCTTCTTAAATAAGTTATCTTTAAAGGGATATGTGCAGTGAGCTAAGAGTTTCAAAATGACCAACCAATTAACAGTCCTACTAGGCTGTTAAGGAGGTAAAATTAAAAGAAAATGATGTAATGATCCACAGAAAGCTTCCATTTTCCTGGAGGAGGTTTACCTTCTAATACTAAACATGGAGTACGAAGGATCATACAAGCAATAGCTTTGTTATTTTTTGTTACATTGAGCAGGAAGTTTGCTGAGTTTGTTCCGTGTGAAGAAGTTGTAGAGACTCATGTGAAGATGATACCTCAGTTCTAAGTTGGTTGGTTGGTGTTCAAGTCATTAAAAGCTTCTCTGGAAACTCTGTTCGTGCCGCAGTGTTTCAGTTCTGTCAGAAAAAATGGATACACATTTCATAAGACATTAAGAGACTCTTGTTCAGGAAATCTCTTGCCTGTGTCTGCTGTTGCTGAAGAGGAAGAAATAGCTGTATTGTGTGTTTTTTGTTTTGCTTTTTCTAGAGTGAACTTCTACAGTATTTGTTAATCTTACCATTTTTCTGGTGCAAACATGGTTAATTCAGTGATGCACTAATTAGTAGATATATTAATTCAGTACAACAGACTTTCAAGAAAAAGGGGGAATGCAATGTACTGTGAATGTGGAAATGATTAATGGAATTTATGAGTAAGAGATCAGATGATATAAAACAAAATGAAAACAAAACAAGAAAAAAACACTAAATAGTTACAACATTATCTAACTTTTGAATTTTATCTTGCAGCGACCAGCATAAAGGAAAATGCTGAAAAATACATGGAGATGCTGGAAGACAAACTACATGGGTAAGGAAGATATCATGGAAACCTTGAAAGATTAAAAATGATTCTTAATGCAGCATTGGCATGCATAAATATTATAGGAATGCTTTTGAATTTGCATGAGAATAATACCAGAATACTTTGAAGTTGGAAATCCCATAAAGATCACTGCTGTGACCTCTGTTCCTGGCCATGTTCAACAGATTTGCTAGCAGCCTGTCAATGAATATAGGTAAAAGAAAGAATTGCTGGGATTGGATTCTCCAGTGCAGAAGACTGCTCTTGAACAGAGCTGGTAGGGCCAGAGACAAGGGAGCGCACATGTGGTTGGTGCACACCTCACCACCAAGCTCAGCTCAGCCTTCAGGTGCTGTAGTCTGTGGTGTGAACTGTTGAACATCCAAAAGTTGTGGAGCTTTGGGGCTGCTGCAGATGGTTGCAAAGGCACTGCTGTATTCCTTTGCAAAACCCAACTCTGAGCAGAGCCAAGGAAATCTTTACTTCGGTCCTGGGTGTCCTTAAAAAGTAATGACCATCTATATAACAGTTTTGAATGAATGCTATTTTGAGGGTTTGGAAAGCAATAGAAACCAAAACAACAATGGAGATATTTTCAGAACTGAATCCTAACACAGAATACATGTATTTCTTCTTGCTGTGTGAAGAGGGCTCTAGATTACCCTCAAGTTTTAAGCTGCTTCTTGAAGGATTAGGCAATTGTTAGCAACTATTACACTGTTGTGATAGAAAAGTGGACTTTTCTTCCCCGTGCATTTTTATTAGAAAAAGCTTTCATAGGCTGTAATTGGAGTTTTTGACTAAATGAAAGTGCAATTCCCAGATTAACTTTACTTCTCTTTCTATTTCTGAGTAGGTATAATTAATAATCTAGTTGCATTCATTATTTGTGTTTGTTGTCCTATTGGTAGAGATGGTTCTAAATTTTTTTATTTGCTCACTCATAATGTGGAATAAAGGCACTTATTTGAGTAACTCTCATGCTTAAAGGTAATTCAGAACGGAGTGAAAAATGGTGGAAGCAGACTTCAAAGATCAAACTGTCTGTGTATTGCCTGTCCCCCCTAACTTTAATACTTCATAACCAATTTCAGAACTGTGTCTGATTTCAAGATAGCTGAAGAGGCTTCATATCCATAACTGTAAGACAAGTTTTCCTGTAGATTAATTAAAAAAAAAACAAAAACAAAACCAACCAACAAACAAAGAAAACAACAGCAACAACAAAAGAACACTAATAAGCAAACATAAATACCTTGCTCTTAATTAAAAATTAGATATAAGGTATAGTAACATATATTGATGCTTCTGAGCTGTAAGTACTTAACTGATATAGCAGGCGACAAAATGTAATGGAATGTATTGACAGTAAATTTCTACCTCTACTGCCATACCAGCAATATCCACTTTAATGTTATGGATCTACGTCATAAAATAGGACACATTACTTTCAGAGCACCCCCTGTAAGGCTTTTATATCTAAGAAAATTAAAAATTATTAGTAGCAGAAAAATCAGCTCCATGAGATATAGTATGAGATAAGTGCTTTATTTTTCAAGAGTACATCTGTTAAATATTTGTAGAAACAAATTTGGAATTAATTATCCTTTGTGAAACTTATTAGAAATTGATAACCTGTGAAATTTGCACTCTGGAGTGATAGAGGTGTTCCTTTTTTGTGTGGCTCAGTTCTCATTTACCTTAAGAATCCTTTTGTTTCTTTTTTTCTTATGCCAAATATTTCTTGGGTGGCATTGCATGTAAACAGAAAAGTTATGCCCAAACCATAGCCTGAACAATTAATGACAGGCATGCAATGTGATGAAGGGAAAAATGCATTTGGATAGGGGAAGTGGCAAAGAGAAATGCATTTTTAAGGGGGATGAGGCAGAGAACAAAGGAAACATCAGGAAAAACGAAAGACCTGGGGACCATCATTTATCCCTCTGCAGAATGCAAGAGCCAGACCTGCTGTAGCAAATTGAACCCTGAGGCAGCAGAAACCCCAGAAGGACCTGGCTTCATCACTAATTAAATCATTAGACTTTTAAACATTTCTTGAGACAGCGAAGAATTTCTGCAGTAAGGTGAGGTCCCTGTGTCCAACTGGAGCTCTTTAGTCTCCTGTACTCAAGAGCTTTGTCTGAAGTCTGACACCATGCTTTCAAAGTGTTATTCAAGCCTGCAAGTCTAAGGTTGCAAATGTTTTAATGACAGAATCCCTCTGTGGCAGCCTGCAGCCTCTTACATACTGTAAGGGAAAGATTTCAGCTTGGGTTGTTGGTGTTCTGTGTATCCTGATGCAGAAAGCCAGCCCTCTGCTTGAGGTGAGTTGCCACTCTAAGGCTGCTCTCTGACTTTGTAATGCTTCTTCTCACATGCAGAGGATCACAGGCTTGCCTGGGAATGCCAGATGGCCTGTGGTCATTTTGTGTAACCCCTGACCTGCCTCGGTTGAACTGAGGGCTGTTCAGATGGTGGCAGCATCTTAGCAGAGCATGGATATGGCTGAAATACCATTTTTGCTCTCTCTAAGACTGCATGTTACGTGTATTTCTTTCAAGGGAACCCACAGCTCCATCCATGCTGTATAATCATCAGATCTTATTTTGCTTACCCACGGTTCTGCTGCAGCAGTGTTAAACACAGGTTAGGCAAAATACTGGATTCTTCCAGCGACTCATTTAGTCCCTTTCTTCTTCCCAGCTGGTCTAAGTCACACACAGCTGTGAGAACATTAGTTCCGAAATGGTGAGCAACAGACGCTGTATATGCTGTGGTGCATTCCTTTGTATCTCATGGGCCACATGGTGATGGCTTCTAAATCCCTTATCGTAACTGCCTCAGGCTGGAAACAATTTTTTGTACCAGCTGATGTAAAGATGACATTTCTTGAGCTGAGGGAATTTAATGTGATTGTACTTGTCTTCAGGCCTCAAAAGATTATTCTGTGACTTCCATTCATCACATAAACGTGGATTTTTAATTCCCAGATAGAAATCATGAAATTATTTTGGGGGAATAATGTTTTTCAGGAATAACTGGTGACAATTACACAAAGGTGTTTTATTGAGCTATTTTATCTTATTCTGCAAGTATAGGGAAATGAATAGATATGCCTGTGAGTAAGATGTAGTACTGCAATGCCTGTACTTTGCCATTACTGATTGTTAATGATACAGCACCTTGTTACTTTTCAAACATATGTAAAACCTTTTGTCTTTAATTGATTCTCTTCCGATATTTGTCTTCCTTTGTTTTTTCTTTGGCAATGACTGTTCTCATTTTAATGGTGGCTTTTTTCAGCTCAAGGGTGCACAGTGTGGGAAATGCAGTGAAGTCCTGCTCCACTGTAAGATTTGCTCATTTGCACTTGTTCAGTGAGGGGTGAAGGGGATTGTGTGCGTTTAGCACAACTTGCATTCCTGTAATAGAAATTTGTGGTTTTTCCATGCAAGTGATATTTTTATGTAGTGTGTTTGAATGTGTCACCTTCCTTGAGCTTCCTCCTTTTAGGCAAGACCTCCAGTGTCCTGAGGGGGCCATACCATAACATACAGGTCAACATTAATTGCTAACCCATCACTTCCCAGTTTACTTAAAAATGAATGCTTTTATAACAGCCATTCTCTTCCTCTGTTACTCGTCATGTTAGCTTACATACTATGTGTCTCAGGCCTCCTTTGTAAGGTACTAAGATTCAGAAACGTTTTTGGGAGCAGACCTGAGTATGAACCCTCTCAAAGTACACTAAGGGGACAGTATTTCTTGTAGCTGATGATCTTAAAGCTCAGAACACATGGAAAAGACTGTGTCCCTGTGGATGGATAGCTCTGTCATCTGGTTACAACATTCTGTACTGTTCTTGTCTGTATGGACTATAAATTAATACAACATTGAATATATGAAGTTAGTTACCCAAAATGAGTTGTTTGCCCATGACTTTAAGCTGTTGCTTGAGAGATCCTTTTCTACCTGAAAAAGTGCTTGTGCATGTAAGTGCGCTCACCTGTGCTTTTGTAACAAAGGGATGTCACACTAGGTATGCTCTGTGATTATCTGGAATGCTGAAAATGTGGAACATCTTTAGAAGTTGCTGGCACTGAATGTGAAAATGGTAAACAAGTTATCAGATAGGGTAGTAAAACTGAAAGAAAACTCTTCTGTGACATCTGAAGGCATTCGGCCACAAATGTGTTTTTATGCTCTTTAGAGTAGAAGTCTCTCTTTAACATACTGTGTAGTTTTAGCATACAGATGGGTTCCCATAAAGCCTTCAACCACCAGCGAAACACCTATCTGGGTTCAGGAATGTTTAAAAAACTCTGAGGTGTTGCCAAACCCACATGGGAATGATTGAATATGTTTCTTTGGAGAATCAGTTCTCCTTGATCTGAACAATACATTCTGTTTGTTTCGGTTACATTATTTTTCAGTTTGCATGAGAGGCATTGTCATGAATTCAGGCTTATTGCTTCTTAAAGGCTTATGTTATCCTAATATTCTTATCCACCCTGAAAGCAACAACTTATGTCTTTGCACTTGCTTGCTATGGAGAGGTTATGAGATCATGAATTGGAGGATTGTATCTTCAGCTGTGTAGCTGGTAACAAGAACTTGGGATCTCATAAACAAAAATAGCATTTTGAATAGATTTCTGTAGGGAAGGAAGAAATTAGCAAAATCAGTATGTATATGCAAAGTGGCTCCCACTCGACCAGAAACAATATTCAAGCTGTTTTATTATCCCACTGATCTTTTGTGTTGGTGCGATTCTTGTGAGTGAAAGTTCACTAACCCAAAATATCCACGAATAAAAGGAGCTGTGAATGATGAAAAGCAAACTGCTAAATGTGCTAGCCAATAAATTACAGGTAATTTTTGCTTGCTGTACAAGCCCAGCTTTATTTAGGGTATCTTAAATAGTTATGAAAATTTAGTTAACATGATAGTGAGTCCATTTAATGAATAAGTCTTAAGTAGCCTTTCTGAGTGCTTTTTTTTTT